TGATCAAATGAGTGAGAACAGCGACAATTATCAAGAATCCTTTGATCGCGCCGCTGCAGAAGGAGTTTTAGGTAATTGTTGAGTAAAAGTTAGCTTTAGAAAGTAAAAAAGTTAGTCTGCTTTGAGTAGTGCTGCCTTAGTACTTAGAGCTTATTTTTTTACGCATAACAGCATTATCTTTACAGACTCAGCTAAGGCGCAAACTCTCAAGCCTGTTCCTGCTCAAAAACCAGCGGCGCAGGTAAGCTTAAGATTTTATTTTATGGGACGCTACGCAATCAGCCTAGCGAAAGGGATCCCCAATATTTTTGTGCTGCATATGTTTCTGTAGTTTCAATGCAATAGTAATTGAAACACAGGTTGAATGTATAGGGTTAATAAATTCCACTCGTTTTTATGAAGATGTTAAAGGTTTTGACAGCACAATATCTACAGTCTTCTTCTTCTATAGTCTTACCTTATCCACAATTTTCGGAATCGCTTAGTTAAAATTGCAAGGTGCTGATTAACGTATTTCAGTTAATACTTTTGGAATGTGAGAAGTCTAAATTATCTTGTAGATGCTGATCAAGAATTTCTATCCATTTCCCGCAGTAGGACTTATAGGATAACGGAAAAAATGGTCGTTGAGGTTAATTGGCAAGACTAACTCGCACAGGCAATTACTGCAATCGCAGGATAGATGGGCGATGGAAAGTTTCAAAATCGCCAGTAAAAAGGAAGTTAGAATGATTGTGCAGAATGGCTTTGCCAAATAGTATAGATATGAGTTTGTTGATCATGTCAATCCCAGTAGATTACTTTTTACGCAATTCAGAAACTTCGCTCCTTTTATAACTCTACATTGAGGTCTTACCGTGGATGAAACAATATTCGTAATAAGCATTTCCTGTTAGCTTTCTTCAAAATAAGCTGCTGTTTGATTGACACCTTATTTGATCCTCTAAATGTTCATTCCTATCACTTCTTATTGAGAAAGGTCACTCAGGTATATCGAGTAAACTTTTATGTAGAAGGAATTTCTTCTTCGAATTATGTGGATGTTACGCAAAAACTTCCTTTGCTTTTGCTTTATGCAACCTGGAATTAGTATGTAAAGTATA